TTCTCCTTCGCATGACAGAACTCCTAGACGCTGCAGGTGGTGCGATAAGGACGACTACCATTGGGAATGTCTGAGCTGTAAGAATAACTACGGTAATAATAAGCCTGGACACGTACTAACACCTGGCAAATGTAAGTTTGCCAAGCCCTGGAAGCTGCCCGACAATCATGGACAGGTACCGCCAGTTCCTGCCGAACCGGCAGCAGGACCTGCACCGCCGGCTCCTGCTGAACCGGCAGCACCACCACCCGAGGCGCCAGCCGCATCATCACGTACGCGGCTAAGAGCACCAAGACCCAGCTCAAGAGCTGGACCTACAGCGGGTGCGATCAGTCACGATATTATCGTAGGCAGACATGTTGCTGAACCTGCTGCAGGGCAAACTGCCTCGAGGGGAGCTGGTAGTTCGGATGGTTATCTCCGACTGCCACAGTTTATAGTCAGACGTTGCCGACAGCAAGGTGGAGAAGCACCCTCCGCCACCAGCGGGTAACCTTGCTGCGCGACCACGACTTCTAGACTGGTCGCGGTTCGACGTGCAAATCAGTCTACAAAATTCACGAAGCCTTGGCCCAAGCGTGGTAACACGGGAGTTGCGGAAGCTACATTTGCGCTGGTTCCATGCGAAAGAGCCTAAGATGAGACTCAGCTTAAGTAAGATAGGTCTGGACAGTGTCAGACTCAACCTGATTAGAGGTGTCTGCGACACATGTCGGGAGTGCAGAGCTTGAGACAAGTCTGGCGACACTGTTATGCCCTCCACTGCACTGCCTGGCAAATTTCACGAAGTGGAATGTGATACCGACAAGAACACAACATCTTCTATCTCATCGGTCGTTGTATTCGATATGCTACTGGGATGGAGATACCAGGCAAGAATTAGACAAGTATCCTAGATGCATATCATCAGTGCTGGATGCAATTTGGACCTGCAAAGGTACTCTACTCCGACGGAGAGGGTGCCCTGAACAACGACACTGCGAAAGCAGTCCTTACGGCACAAGGCACTGAACTTAGGATACGTGCGCGTGGACGGCACGGTGCGACGATCGAGGCCGGAAATGGTATCTTGCTCCGTCTACTTCATGTCGTGGAAGCTGAACTCAACAGGTTGGACATACCTCTTGTGTTCACGCGGCTACTGCGCGAGGCTTGGTTCGCCGCCAACGCGTTCGCATTCTACAGCGAGGTGTTTCCGCATAACGCTCCGTTTGGGCGGCAACCAGCAATGCTTCCTGACTTACCTGTCTCGGACCACGAGCAACCGACGGAAACGTCGGACCATTCTCGTGAGAATTCGATGCGCAGGGTATGTATTGAAGCCATCACAGGCCACAGCAGTAGCTCAGACCAATCGTGCCTTACGCGCTAAGACAACTATCGCTGGTCAGCACTATTACGATGAAGGAGACTTGGTCGATTATCATCGCCCCACAACCACGAGGGATGACTGGGGAGGCTGGGGCGGCCCATTCCCAGTTGTAAAGGATGATCCCGAAAGGTGTCAAGTCATCATCCGCGTGGGCAATCGAGATGTTCAAGTACAATGCGGCGATGCACGACATTCACTTTATATTGAAGCACTGATAGCCCGAAAGATAGGCTCCGACAACGCTGCACTACGTACAGTGTTGACGCTCGTAGCCAGTTTGTCAGCGGGGAGACCTGCTCTGACCTTTGGCTATGTGCCGACCAAGGAGGGGGCGCTTCAGATGACGAGTGCAAGCCGTCTATCTCCTCCTAAGGCACATATAGCTTTACAGTGCCGTATCAGAAACTTCTTCAATGTAGTTTCAGTCAGGCTAGCTAAGAGAAATCATAAGCTACCTCCCGTTACTTATGCTGACAGGTGCACAGTGGTCCACTATGACAACGATGTGAATCCAGGATGTTACTATTATGAAGCAGAAGGCACTGCATTGAATATGCACGATATAACTGGATCAGCACATTCGAGACCCATCCAATGTCTGAAGTCCACTAGACCTCAATCAGGTTTTGATCAGTACATGACAAGATTTGAGGAATTGGCGGGTACACCGACACCGGATGGAACCACCAGAGAAGCTTCAGAAGCCGAACCACCACATGATGATGGACGGCTTTCTACGATCTACGAGGAAACAGAGGCTGATCTCGAGTCACATGTTATGGAACTGTGGTATGCAGAACTACAGGAGGAAATGGGGGCTGCAGGAGGCAACTCCACCAGAGGACCTCTTTACCATTCCCACACAGATGCTTCCAGATCAGCGTGTGCTGTCATTGTAGCTGATGAACAGCGGGGGCACCTGCCTCGAGCGGGGGCCCACTCGCGACTCCGACACCGAGGAGACGTACTACGTCTCAATGTGTCCAATGGTCGAAGACTACAACTACGGACTGGACTCAGACGAACATGGTCAATCTGTCGAATTCTGCTTCGCGGCAGAAATGTCACAGGTAGTCCTCTCCGAACAACAGCGCATGATACTAGATGCCGTCCGTGTGACCGCTATGCGAGTATGCGTTACCGCCGCTGCAACGCGAGCTGTGGTCGTCAAGGAAGACGACTTCCTCGCGAAAGCTGACGTCCAGGCGAATCCCGACAAAGTAGCGAAGGCCCTCTACACTAATTCAAGACATGGTTCGATAATATGCGTTTCAAGATGCAATATATAACTATAGCGTCGACCATCATGACTTCGAGATACGTGTACCCATGGAAGATTGTAAAGAACGAGAAGGGCGAGAGCGGAACGTGCCATCATATTACGCTTGGTACTCCGAGGTTTCATGGACCTTGGAGCTTTCGACGTAGAAGCGTTTCCGGGAACGGCGCGACGGTCGAGCCTGAGGCTACTCGCTAGCACGGCAGCGTGCAAGAAGCAATGGGTCATTGCTTCCCTCGACATCAACATGGCCTTCCTGAAGTGGTTGGCGTATCAGGAACTTGCTTAGGCTACTGGTGAAAAGGAACGCGCGGTGTGTTTTATTCTGCCGCTTGGATCGGCCACAGTGCTTCGAACTCTCCCAGGATTCGAACACGGCGACGAGTCAAAGCATAGCCTGCAGTGCTTGAAACCAGGCACGGGCACCAAAGACGCACCACGGGCTGTCTCATTAAAACTCGGAGAGACCACCAGAGGTTTTGGTCTCCGACCCACGTCCCACGACGAGGAGTTCGAGACGAGCAACAAACTGCTCACGGCCAAACACGTTGATGATATCGATATGGCCGGTACTGAGGGCACCATTGAAACGCATGCCAAATGCGTAGAAGACGCTTTTGGTAAGTGTAGAATCAACAAGCACACATGCACCAACTGTGCTGTGATATACACCAAGGATGAGGACGGTAATGTTACTCTGGACCAAGATGAATACATCAAGTAGCTTCATCCTATACATCATCCTGAACTTAACAGCGCCGACGCTGACGCTCTTGCCTCCAAGGCGGTTGCAGACATGTTCGTCAGCCTCAGGGGCGCGCTGGCGTATGCATTAATCACCCAGGTGTGGTTGCTGGTGCATGTCGTTTCTCTACAGCGTGTCCAAGAACCGACCAACATTCAAGTGCGACGACTGAGCGCGATCACCAGGAAGCTGCAGGCCAGCTCAAGGAAGATCGTCTACCAGGCGATGACTCCTACGGGCGAGGTTGACCTGCGCAGCGATTCAGGATACCGACGCCTGAGTGGAGACGCCGATGACGACGTCAAAGGCTATGGTATTCGCGGGGCAAACCTGCTACGACGTGGAAACACGTCATCCAGTAAACCTGTCGTTCACTTGATCGATGCGTACTGCAAGTCTCACCGCTTGCGGGTCCGCTCGAGCTTTTCAGCAAAGACACTAGCAGTAGCCCATCATTTGGAGGACTGTTATCCCACGACTGCGACTCTGCGCGAGGTCCACGCAGGGCCGCTCGCGCCCACTCAGTTGAAAGATATACTTGAGTTGGGTGGCCTGAGCATCAAGGTCACTTTGACCATAGATGCTGAGTCTGTTTTTAAGTCCTTATCGAGCAAAGACTTGAAGAAGCGCACTGGGTGCACCCTTTTAGGACACATCGGTTGGATACGACAGATGATGGAGCGTGGAATCGTGCAGAGTATTCATTGGTGCGACACTCGCGACATGAGTGCGGATGGTCACACCAAGGGGAGCATCGACAGAGAAATGCTCCTACAAGTCATGGGAGGTATACAGGCCTTCAAACATGACCTGAAGAGTCATACTCCATATCGGGCTGGCCAGACATCTAGTTCGGACGCCGTCTGAGGAGTACTCTAAGTACAGAGCTGTACAAGCAAGGGAATTTGCGAGCGGGTCCACCTCCTTTATGGCCCGCCCTTTTTCTGTCCTTGTGTATACTAGCTGCTGTGCCTGGTGCATAGGGGCGACGGGCTCACGCTTCGTCTCCCTCCCCCCGGACTCTAAAGCGAGCTGAGGGACGTAAGGAGCGGAAGCGAGCGTGCGTCCGCGGCCGCGTCGGCTCAAGCGGCCAGCCGCCCTGATATGACTGTGTTTCATCGCGAGGCACACAATCGCTATCGAGACCAAAAGGATTCTCTTATTGCTTAAGATGGCACATCCTCTCCTACTGGGACTATCGCTACTACGGTATAACAGAGCTGGAGCTTGGCTTCGCCTAAGGCGAAGCTGCTGGCTGTGCCTCCCAAGCCCCTTCAAACTACGTTTACCAACCCTCCCCCTTCCAGGCCCTAGTCAAAAGGGGGAGGGGGTGCGTGGGCGGTCGTTCAGCAGCAGTGATTACTGTTTTTTCCTGATCTTCGATAGGTGCACGGTGACAGTCTAACACATCTTGTGCCACCACAGTTGCCAACCTGCAATAAGCACTCCATGGCGAGCAGCTTGCATGGGGCATCCAAGCGCGCGCCAGCTTGCTGAGAACCACGGTCCGCGCAGCTTGGCAGCCCCGCAAGGGGGTGGGCGGATTCGCGGACGTCCCGAACGGGCTCGGTGCGATCTCCAAGGTTCCCGCAGCGGGCTGGGCGCAGATCGCGGCGTACGCCGCGTTCTGCGAGCTGTCACAGAACCAGGCCCCGGGCACGCCTGCCGCGGCGGGCGACTTCGGCTGGAAGGTGCTCACCGCTAGCGATCCCGTGGAGAAGCAGAAGAAGTTGGCTGCTGAGATAGCAAACGGTCGCCTTGCCATGATGGCGATCATCGGGATGTTCTTCCAGGACGGTTTGACTGGCTCTGCGTGGGGCGACTGGGCGCTCTACACCGCCTCTCCGCTGCGCGCGTTCGAGAGCGAGCTGGGCGTTCAGGACCCGGTGGGCTTCTGGGATCCTGCTGGGTTCACGGCAGATGGCAGCACGGAGAATTTCGCGCGCCGCCGGCAGACGGAGCTGAAACACGGCCGCGTGAGCATGCTGGCGACCATGGGTTACATCACGCCCGAGATCACTGGCAAGCTGCCCGGCTACTTGTCGCCTTCGGCTGGCCTGAAGTTCGCGGACGTCCCGAACGGGCTCGGTGCGATCTCCAAGGTTCCCGCAGCGGGCTGGGCGCAGATCGTGGCGTACGGCGCGTTCTGTGAGCTGTCCCAGGACCAGTCCGCTGGCACCGCTGCCGCGGCTGGCGACTTCGGCTTCAAGGTTCTGACGTCCAGCGACCCCGCGGAGAAGCAGAAGAAGTTGGCTGCTGAGATCGCGAATGGCCGTCTTGCCATGATGGCTATCATCGGGATGTTCTTCCAGGACGGTTTGACTGGCTCGGCCTGGGGCGACTGGGCGCTTTACACCGGATCCCCGCTGCGTGCGTTCGAGAACGAGACGGGCGTGCAGGACCCGATGGGTTTCTGGGACCCAGCGGGCTTCACATTTGACGGGAACTCGGAGAACTTCGCGCGCCGCCGGCAGACGGAGCTCAAGCATGGTCGCGTGTCGATGCTGGCCACCATGGGTTACATCACCCCCGAGGTCAGCGGCAAGTTCCCTGGGTACTTGTCCCCGTCAGCAGGAATCAAATCTAACGGGCTCCGCCCTCCGAGGCCTCCTTTTTGATGGATCCGTGGCTTGAAGGCTGTAGGCTGGTGTGGGAACGTTTGTGGATACTCTTGGGGGCCATTCCAGGGTTTTGGTCAATCCTGAACGATCTTAGAGCAACCAATCGCAAGCTTACTGGCGTCTTGTGGCACGTTCAGGCCCTCGTTGGGCGCTGTGGGGCCATCTTGGACCCTCTTGCGTGCGTCTTGGAGGCTGACGCGGTACATTTTTTTGGGACCTCTGGGGTGGGGGGGGGGCAGCTTGGAGCTTGGGGCCTTGTCGGAACCTCCTAGGCGCTCGACAAAACCTGTTTTCATATTCCAAGAGCGCCACATGTTCTGTGTGCAAGTGTTTTGTAGCATGGAAGGCGCCAGTTGTGACACTTCATACACGCTTGGGGGGCCCCCTTGGCGTTATTATTGTTTTTTCCTGATCTTCGATAGGTGCACGGTGACAGTCTACACATCTTGTGCCACCAAGGTTGCCAACCTGCAATCAGCACTCCATGGCGAGCAGCTTGCATGGGGCATCCAAGCGCGCACGCCAGCTTGCTGAGAACCACGGTCCGCGCAGCTTGGCAGCCCCGCAAGGGGGTGGGCGGATTCGCGGACGTTCCGAACGGGCTCGGTGCGATCTCCAAGGTTCCCGCAGCGGGCTGGGCGCAGATCGCGGCGTACGCCGCGTTCTGCGAGCTGTCACAGAACCAGGCCCCGGGCACGCCTGCCGCGGCGGGCGACTTCGGCTGGAAGGTGCTCACCGCTAGCGATCCCGTGGAGAAGCAGAAGAAGTTGGCTGCTGAGATCGCAAACGGTCGCCTTGCCATGATGGCGATCATCGGGATGTTCTTCCAGGACGGTTTGACTGGCTCTGCGTGGGGCGACTGGGCGCTCTACACCGCCTCTCCGCTGCGCGCGTTCGAGAGCGAGCTGGGCGTTCAGGACCCGGTGGGCTTCTGGGACCCTGCTGGGTTCACGGCAGACGGCAGCACGGAGAATTTCGCGCGCCGCCGGCAGACGGAGCTGAAGCACGGCCGCGTGAGCATGCTGGCGACCATGGGTTACATCACGCCCGAGATCACTGGCAAGCTGCCCGGCTACTTGTCGCCTTCGGCTGGCCTGAAGTTCGCGGACGTCCCGAACGGGCTCGGTGCGATCTCCAAGGTTCCCGCAGCGGGCTGGGCGCAGATCGTGGCGTACGGCGCGTTCTGCGAGCTGTCCCAGGACCAGTCCGCTGGCACCGCTGCCGCGGCCGGCGACTTCGGCTTCAAGGTGCTGACGTCCAGCGACCCCGCGGAGAAGCAGAGAGCAACCAATCGCAAGCTTACTGGCGTCTTGTGGCACGTTCAGGCCCTCGTTGGGCGCTGTGGGGCCATCTTGGACCCTCTTGCGTGCGTCTTGGAGGCTGACGCGGTACATTTTTTTGGGACCTCCGGGGTGGGGGGGGGCAGCTTGGAGCTTGGGGCCTTGTCGGAACCTCCTAGGCGCTCGACAAAACCTGTTTTCATATTCCAAGAGCGCCACATGTTCTGTGTGCAAGTGTTTTGTTGCATGGAAGGCGCCAGTTGTGACACCTCATACACGCTTGGGGGGTTCCCTTGGCGTTATTATTGTTTTTTCCTGATCTTCGACAGGTGCACGGTGACAGTCTACACATCTTGTGCCACCAAGGTTGCCAACCTGAAATAAGCACTCCATGGCGAGCAGCTTGCATGGGGCATCCAAGCGCGCACGCCAGCTTGCTGAGAACCACGGTCCGCGCAGCTTGGCAGCCCCGCAAGGGGGTGGGCGGATTCGCGGACGTCCCGAACGGGCTCGGTGCGATCTCCAAGGTTCCCGCAGCGGGCTGGGCGCAGATCGCGGCGTACGCCGCGTTCTGCGAGCTGTCACAGAACCAGGCCCCGGGCACGCCTGCCGCGGCGGGCGACTTCGGCTGGAAAGTGCTCACCGCTAGCGATCCCGTGGAGAAGCAGAAGAAGTTGGCTGCTGAGATCGCGAATGGTCGTCTTGCGATGATGGCGATCATCGGGATGTTCTTCCAGGACGGTTTGACCGGCTCTGCGTGGGGCGACTGGGCGCTCTACACCGCCTCCCCGCTGCGCGCGTTCGAGAGCGAGCTGGGCGTTCAGGACCCGGTGGGCTTCTGGGACCCTGCTGGGTTCACAGCAGATGGCAGCACGGAGAACTTCGCGCGCCGCCGGCAGACGGAGCTGAAGCACGAGCCGCGTGAGCATGCTGGCGACCATGGGTTACATCACGCCCGAGATCCACGGCAAGCTGCCCGGCTACTTGTCCGCCTTCGGCTGGCCGGACGCCGACGTCCCGAACGGGCTCGGTGCGATCTCCAAGGTTCCCGCAGCGGGCTGGGCGCAGATCGTGGCGTACGGCGCGTTCTGCGAGCTGTCCCAGGACCAGTCCCCTGGCACCGCTGCCGCGGCGGCGACTTCGGCTTCAAGGTGCTCACGTCCAGCGACCCGTGGAGAAGCAGAAGAAGTTGGCGCGGAGATCGCAACGGTCGCCTTGCCATGATGGCTATCATCGGAATGTTCTTCCAGGACGGTTTGACCGGCTCTGCGTGGGGCGACTGGGCGCTCTACACCGGATCCCCGCTGCGCGCGTTCGAGAGCGAGCTGGGCGTGCAGGACCCGTGGGCTTCTGGGACCCTGCTGGGTTCACGGCGGATGGCAGCACGGAGAACTTCGCCAGGAGGCGCCAGACAGAGCTGAAGCACGGCCGCGTGAGCATGCTGGCGACGATGGGTTACATCACGCCCGAGATCACCGGCAAGCTGCCAGGCTACTTGTCGCCTTCGGCTGGCCTGAAGTTCGCGGACATCCCGAACGGGCTCGGTGCGATCTCCAAGGTTCCCGCGGCGGGCTGGGCGCAGATCGTGGCGTACGGCGCGTTCTGCGAGCTGTCCCAGGACCAGTCCGCTGGCACCGCTGCCGCGGCCGGCGACTTCGGCTTCAAGGTGCTGACGTCCAGCGACCCCGCGGAGAAGCAGAAGAAGTTGGCTGCTGAGATCGCGAATGGTCGTCTTGCCATGATGGCTATCATCGGGATGTTCTTCCAGGACGGTTTGACTGGCTCGGCGTGGGGCGACTGGGCGCTCTACACCGGATCCCCGCTGCGTGCGTTCGAGAGCGAGCTGGGCGTGCAGGACCCGGTGGGCTTCTGGGACCCTGCTGGGTTCACAGATGGCAGCACGGAGAATTTCGCGCGCCGCCGGCAGACGGAGCTGAAGCACGGCCGCGTGAGCATGCTGGCGACCATGGGTTACATCACGCCCGAGATCACGGCAAGCTGCCCGGCTACTTGTCGCCTTCGGCTGCAGGAATCAAATCTAAGGGGGCTGGTTCCGCCTCCGAGGCGTACGGCGCGTTCTGCGAGCTGTCCCAGGACCAGTCCGCTGGCACCGCTGCCGCGGCCGGCGACTTCGGCTTCAAGGTGCTGACGTCCAGCGACCCCGCGGAGAAGCAGAAGAAGTTGGCTGCTGAGATCGCGAATGGCCGTCTTGCCATGATGGCTATCATCGGGATGTTCTTCCAGGACGGTTTGACTGGCTCGGCCTGGGGCGACTGGGCGCTTTACACCGGATCCCCGCTGCGTGCGTTCGAGAACGAGACGGGCGTGCAGGACCCGATGGGTTTCTGGGACCCAGCGGGCTTCACATTTGACGGCAGCACGGAGAACTTCGCGCGCCGCCGGCAGACGGAGCTGAAGCACGGTCGCGTGTCGATGCTGGCCACCATGGGTTACATCACCCCCGAGGTCAGCGGCAAGTTCCCTGGGTACTTGTCCCCGTCTGCAGGAATCAAATCTAAGGGGCTCCGCCCTCCTCCGAGGCCTCCTTTTTGATGGATCCGTGGCTTGAAGGCTGTAGGCTGGTGTGGGAACGCTTGTGGACACTCTTGGGGGCCATTCCAGGGTTTTGGTCAATCCTGAACGATCTTAGAGCAACCAATCGCAAGCTTACTGGCGTCTTGTGGCACGTTCAGGCCCTCGTTGGGCGCTGTGGGGCCATCTTGGACCCTCTTGCGTGCGTCTTGGAGGCTGACGCGGTACATTTTGGGACCTCGGGGGTGGGGGGGGGGCAGCTTGGAGCTTGGGGCCTTGTCGGAGCCTCCTAGGCGCCCGACAAAACCTGTTTTCATTTTCCAAGAGCGCCACATGCTCTGTGTGCAAGTGTTTTGTAGCATGGAAGGCGCCAGTTGTGACACTTCATACACGCTTGGGGGGCCCCCTTGGCGTTATTACTGTTTTTTCCTGATCTTCGATAGGTGCACGGTGACAGTCTACACATCTTGTGCCACCAAGGTTGCCAACCTGCAATCAGCACTCCATGGCGAGCAGCTTGCATGGGGCATCCAAGCGCGCACGCCAGCTTGCTGAGAACCACGGTCCGCGCAGCTTGGCAGCCCCGCAAGGGGGTGGGCGGATTCGCGGACGTCCCGAACGGGCTCGGTGCGATCTCCAAGGTTCCCGCAGCGGGCTGGGCGCAGATCGCGGCGTACGCCGCGTTCTGCGAGCTGTCACAGAACCAGGCCCCGGGCACGCCTGCCGCGGCGGGCGACTTCGGCTGGAAGGTGCTCACCGCTAGCGATCCCGTGGAGAAGCAGAAGAAGTTGGCTGCTGAGATCGCAAACGGTCGCCTTGCCATGATGGCGATCATCGGGATGTTCTTCCAGGACGGTTTGACTGGCTCTGCGTGGGGCGACTGGGCGCTCTACACCGCCTCTCCGCTGCGCGCGTTCGAGAGCGAGCTGGGCGTTCAGGACCCGGTGGGCTTCTGGGACCCTGCTGGGTTCACGGCAGATGGCAGCACGGAGAATTTCGCGCGCCGCCGGCAGACGGAGCTGAAGCACGGCCGCGTGAGCATGCTGGCGACCATGGGTTACATCACGCCCGAGATCACTGGCAAGCTGCCCGGCTACTTGTCGCCTTCGGCTGGCCTGAAGTTCGCGGACGTCCCGAACGGGCTCGGTGCGATCTCCAAGGTTCCCGCAGCGGGCTGGGCGCAGATCGTGGCGTACGGCGCGTTCTGCGAGCTGTCCCAGGACCAGTCCGCTGGCACCGCTGCCGCGGCCGGCGACTTCGGCTTCAAGGTGTTGACGTCCAGCGACCCGGCGGAGAAGCAGAAGAAGTTGGCTGCTGAGATCGCGAATGGTCGTCTTGCGATGATGGCGATCATCGGGATGTTCTTCCAGGACGGTTTGACCGGCTCTGCGTGGGGCGACTGGGCGCTCTACACCGCCTCCCCGCTGCGCGCGTTCGAGAGCGAGCTTGGCGTTCAGGACCCGGTGGGCTTCTGGGACCCTGCTGGGTTCACAGCAGATGGCAGCACGGAGAACTTCGCGCGCCGCCGGCAGACGGAGCTGAAGCACGGCCGCGTGAGCATGCTGGCGACCATGGGTTACATCACGCCCGAGATCACTGGCAAGCTGCCCGGCTACTTGTCGCCTTCGGCTGGCCTGAAGTTCGCGGACGTCCCGAACGGGCTCGGTGCGATCTCCAAGGTTCCCGCAGCGGGCTGGGCGCAGATCGTGGCGTACGGCGCGTTCTGCGAGCTGTCCCAGGACCAGTCCGCTGGCACCGCTGCCGCGGCCGGCGACTTCGGTTTCAAGGTGCTGACGTCCAGCGACCCGGCGGAGAAGCAGAAGAAGTTAGCTGCTGAGATCGCGAATGGTCGTCTTGCGATGATGGCGATCATCGGGATGTTCTTCCAGGACGGTTTGACTGGCTCGGCCTGGGGCGACTGGGCGCTCTACACCGCATCCCCGCTGCGCGCGTTCGAGAACGAGCTTGGCGTTCAGGCTCCTGTGGGCTTTTTTGACCCGTGTTGCCTGACCAAGGATGGCGACACCACCACGTTCCTGCGCCGCCGCAACACCGAGATCAAGCACGGGCGCGGCGTGGTATGAAGAGATGGGGGACGATGCGGAGGGTGGTGATGATGGCGATGCATCTCGCAGGCCTAGAGGTTGACACCAACACCAATGTCGGCGGTGTGCCTCTACCGAGGGAAGAAGATCCCGATCTCGGTGAAGGTGGTAATATTCCGCCTTCCAAGGTGACCGAAATGTTGCCACCGGCACCGAAGTCGAGGATCATCTCCCCCTTCCTTGGAGTTAACCCCCTGTGTTGGTGCTGGCGTCAATCTCCAGGCCTCCGGCGATGGTGAAGGTGATGGGGATGGGAGGGGGGGACGACCAGGCCTCCTCCAGGTGCGAGCACGGCTCTCGCTCTGGAGCCTTCGCAGAGTTCTCCGGAGAGCACCCCCAGGACGTCCGTGGCGCCCGCTGCTCGGGGGATGCCACGCGTGCGGCATTCAGGCTCGTGCGGCGCTGGCGCGCCGGCGACGCCAGCGAAGGCGTTCAAGGCTGAATGCCGCAGGATACAACGACGCTTGAATCGGGCCTGTCCCTCTACAGGAGGAGTATCCAAAAAGAGTGAAACAATTCTCAGGGGACGATTTTTGACAATTCTTCAAATTTTTGGAGTATGTCTTGATTTTTTTTATTTTTCCGTTCACGCTCCGCCTGTAGGGGGACATGCCCGACCCAAAGCGACGCGGAAGCTCCGACGGGCACGGTAATGCCACAGGACCCGACGGAATTCAACCTTGCAGAACGATCGGGGCCGCGATCGTTGTAAGGTTGCACGATCGACGCGTTGTCAAGAGTCTCTGCGTGCGCCCGCCGGCGCCGCGCGAACCTACCGTACTCCCCAGAACAGACTTACACCTGGAGAGAGGGCCTCGGCGCCCTCGAGACGCTCAGCGGCCGCGTTTTGGCGCCCACCACAGCTGGATCCGTGGCCGCCGCCCCAGTCGCTTGCATATCCTGCCCATGGCGCGCCGAGTGGGCTGGGGCGAGGGGGCGCGGCCTCAGAGAGGGCCTCCGGCTTCTTGCAACGCTCGGCGAGCCTTCGCCCGCCTCCTCATCATCCTTGGTGGCTCCGTAATGCGGGCGGCATAAGCATAAACTCCCTCAGCTCCGCGTGGACTTCCGAAAGTTTATGTTCATGCAGTTTTTCGTACCTCTGTGGCCCCTTCCGAGGTCTAAGACGGGCCCCCGCCTCCTCAGAAGGTCGCCCTGCTTTCCCACTGGACGAGGAGGACGAGGAGAAGGAAGGCTCCAGAGCACTCTGGGAACATGCCGCAGCATCCCGCGCTACTGTCCAGACTTGGCAGCCCTGGCAGATCTCCGAACCGTGCCCTCCGAGTCGCTCCTGTGCTGCTCTCGTTTCGCTCGGCGGCGTGGCTAAGGAGGGCGGGGTTCGAGAGGAGGTGGCCTCCTGAGAAGAACCTCCCGTCTCTCCCGAAGAGGAGAAGCGGCGTAAGCATCAGCTTCTTGAGGTCTGCGCGGATTTCTTGGATAGGCGCTGGACCCCCGCTGGCGGCGCTCGTGGAAGGATCGCCGGTCTTCCAAGGAGCCTCCTCCCAAGAGGCCGTTTCCCTTCAGAGTTCTGAGAAGCCCCGTGGCTCCCACTGCCGTTCTGCCTTCTTAGTTGTCGTGCCCTGGTCTTGTCTCGCGCAGGCGCGTCGCCATGTGGGCCTGCATTGGGTACATCGTGCCCGAGTACTTCAAGTGGCCAGGATACTGCTCGCCGTCGGCCGGTGTCTCGTTCGCGGACGTGCCGAACGGTCTGGCGGCACTTTCCAAGGTGCCCAGGGCCGGCTGGGCTCAGGTCATTGCCCGTTGGGGTGATGCGGGAGGAGAAAAAAGATTCTTAGGCTTACGCCACACCGCCGACCCCTTGTTTATGCCAATCTGGGGGTAGTAGAAGCTGCGAAGGGGTGAAAAGCGAGTTTTGGAGCCACTTGGGGGCCGTTTCGGAGCCTCTGGGGTGCTTCTTGGGGGTTCCTTGGGGCGTCTGGGCGGCCTCGTGAGGGCCTCTGGGGGCCTCTTGGGGCACTCTTGGGGCCCCCTGGGGCTCCTGGGGGCAGAAAGCTAGAGTTTCAACATGTTTGGTCGCCCTCTTGGGCCCCTCTTGGTGCCGTCTTGGAGCCCTCTTGGGCCGTCTTGGGGACCTCTTGGGCCGTGTTGGGGCCGTCTTGGGCCGTCTGGAGGCCGTCTTGGGGGCCTCTTGGGCCATCTTGGGGCTGTCTTTGGGGCCTCTTTGGCCGTCTTGGAGCGTCGGGAAGCCGAAAAGGCGGAAAAGCAAAAAACATCGAAAAACACTATGGAAAATCAACAATTTTAGACTCTTGGGGTCCTCTTGGGAGGCTTGTTTGGGACCTCGGGGGCCGTCTTGGAGACCTCTTGGCCCGTCTTGGGGCCATCTTGGGCGTCTTGGAGCGGTCGTTTGGCGTCTCGGGGCCTTCGTGGGCCGTCTTGGAGGCCTCTTGGGGGCTTCTTGGCCCGTCTTGAGGCCCTCTTGGGCCCGGAAAAGCCCCGTGAACCGCTCGTCCCGGACCCCCCCCCCCTCCAAATCGACCGGACCGGGCTCCCGGGGGAGGGGTTTGGGGAGGGGGAAGCATCTCACACGCCGATGATCCCCAAGGGGTCGGCGGACTTCAGGATGATGGGCCTGTTTTCCACCACCACCACCATAAGTTGGAGGGGGAGGAGGAGGAGGACGAGGAGGAGGAGGTGGAGGAGGAGGAAGAGGACCCCCTCCCCTTCCAACTTGTGGTGGTGGTGGTGGTGGAAAACAGGCTTATCAGGGAGGAGAACCAAACATACTTTAGGAGGTTTCTTTTCGACGACATGGTCGGGGGTTTCCCCCAAGTTTTTTTTGTTGCGAGGTCTCGAGTGCAGCTTGAGAGAGGGAGCAGCCGTCTCAAAAGGTGCCTGCCTTCGGCTGGTGCCAGATCATCTCGGGCGTCGAGTAAATGGAGGTGCGATAAATCGGGGGGGGTTCAGAGAGGTGCACCTTTTGTGCCCTAAATGGGGCCCCAACAGGACCCCCTGGGCCCAGAACGGGGCACGAAAGGTGCACGCTATTTGCACCCTCCGTTCACCGTTCCCCATGCATCAACGCCCGATCGTCGCCTTCTGCGGCTCCTTGGAGAAGAACGTGTTCGTGTACGACCCCAGCCGCGGGCCCGGCGACTTCGACACCGCTGGCGCGCTGGGCGTGCCCGGGGCAAAGGGCGTCGACGACCCCGAGGCGCGCAAGAGGAAGCTCAACGCCGAGATCGCGAACGGCCGCCTCGCGATGATGGCCATCATCGGCATGTTCTACCAGGACGGCCTCACTGGCTCGGCCTGGGGCGACTGGGCCCTCTACGCCGACTCGCCCCTGCGGGCCTACGAGAACGAGCTGGGCGTGCAGGCGCCGGTCGGATTCTGGGACCCCGCGGGCTACTGCGTGGACGGCACCGCTGCTGACTTCACGAGGCGCCGCGTTACGGAGATCAAGCACGGCCGCGTGGCGATGTGGGCTTGCATGGGGTACATCGTCCCAGAGTACTTCAAGTGGCCAGGGTTTCTGTCGCCGACCGCTGGCATCAAGTTCGCAGACGTGCCGAATGGCCTGGGAGCGCTCTCGAAGGTACCGGCTTACGGCTGGGTCCAGATGATCGCGTTCGCTGGCGCCCTCGACACTGGCTTCTTCGTGTACGACGAATCCCGCGAGCCTGGCGACTACGCCAATGGAGGCGTCTTGGGCGTCCCGAACGCCAGCGGCCCCATGGAGGATAAGGAAGCTCGCAAGACGAAGCTCAACGCCGAGCTTGCGAACGGTCGGCTGGCCATGATGGCCATTATCGGCATGTTTTTCCAGGACGGCCTCACCGGCAGCGCATGGGGCGACTGGGCGCTCTACACCGGCTCCCCGCTGCGCTGACCGCGCGCGGAGTTTCGGGTTGTCTCGACCGGGCACGGGAGCCACTGACAAACCATAGCAGCCCTTCTCATCCTCATGCCAAGGGTACCCGCGGTTAGGTTGCCTCGGCTGCGTCGCAGTCGGTTGCATTCGGAAGGTTGAGTTCGGTTGATTGTCGTGTCTCTGCTGCGTCGCTGCACACTTCTAGGTTGCTTGCAACCTGTCGGTATCGGTTGGTTTCAGTTTCGTTGTTGGTTCGGGTGGTCTTCGGTGGCGCTGTTGCCGTGGCTGGCCTTTCTCCTCCTCCTTTTCCTTCGCCGACGCCCAATGTCTTCCCCCTCGCCTTTTTTCTTCTTCTCCGCGGGAGGAGGAGGAGGAGGAGGAGGAGGAGGAGGAGGAGGAGGAGGAGGAGGAGGAGGAGGAGGAGGAGGAAGAGGAGGACGAGAAGGAGGAGGAGGAGGAGGACGAGGTGGACGAGGAGAAGGAGGATGAGCAGGAGGAGGAGGAGGAAGAGGAGGAGGTGGATGAGGAGGAGGAGGAGGAGGAGGAGGATGAGGAGGAGGAGGAGGAGAGGAGGAGGAGGAGGAGGAGGAGAGGAGGAGGGAGGAGGAGGAGGAGGAGGAGGAGGAGGGAGGAGGGAGGAGGGAGGAGGAGGAGGGAGGAGGGAGGCGGGAGGAGGAGGAGGCGGAGGAGGAGGAGGACCAGTGTAAATCCAAGAGTCATCCCTGATGCTGGAGTAAAACCTCCCTCCAAGCTCCCTCGTCGTAGGCCCCTACAACGGCTCATCTCCGTTGAGGTAATTGTCTTGTTGGAAGATGCCCGTTTGAAGACCCTGAAGCATGTCAAAACATTGTTCTCGGGATTCCAACGCCACGGATCAACCTGACTTTTGCGTCTTGACGAGCCTGAATCGTGCCAGAACGGCATTTAGTAGGACTTCAACATCGAGAATCTACGTAACTGCTGTGCCCGCATAATCCTGAATCTTTCCAAACGCTATTTCTGGTACGTTGATGGTGGGAACCCGTGAAACTTGAAGACTTTGTAAACGAATGTGCGCGGCGCGGCGCTAAGGCGAGAGCCGCCCTCAGTCCGTGAAACTCTGGCAAATTTTGAAAGCGAATGTGCGCCGCGCTGAGGCGAGGGCCACATTTTGAAAACGACCCGCCCTCCATTCATGAAGCTCTTGCATATTTTGAAAGCGAATGTGCGCCGCGCTAAGGCGAGAGCCACATGTTGAAAACGACCCGCCCTCAATCCGTGAATGTCTCGCAAATTTTGACGACGACTGTGCGCTGCGCTGAGGCGAGGGCCACATTTTGAAAACGACCCGCCCTCAATCCATGAAGCTGTTGCAAATTTCGAAAGCGAATGTGCGCCGCGCTAAGGCGAGAGCCACATGTTGAAAAGGAACCGCCCTCAATCCGTGAATGTCTCGCAAATTTTGACGACGACTGTGCGCTGCGCTGAGGCGAGAGCCACATTTTGAAAACGACCCGCCCTCAATCCATGAAGCTGTTGCAAATTTCGAAAGCGAATGTGCGCCGCGCTAAGGCGAGAGCCACATGTTGAAAGGAACCGCCCTCAATCCGTGAATGTCTCGCAAATTTTGACGACGACTGTGCGCTGCGCTGAGAAAACGACCGCCCTCACATGAAGCTGTTGCAAATTTCGAAAGCGAATGTGCGCCGCGCTAAGGCGAGAGCCACATGTTGAAAAGGAACCGCCCTCAATCCGTGAATGTCTCGCAAATTTTGACGACGACTGTGCGCTGCGCTGAGGCGAGAGCCACATTTTGAAAACGACCCGCCCTCAATCCATGAAGCTGTTGCATATTTCGAAAGCGAATGTGCGCCGCGCTAAGGCGAGAGCCACATGTTGAAAAGGAACCGCCCTCAATCCGTGAATGTCTCGCAAATTTTGACGACGACTGTGCGCTGCGCTGAGGCGAGAGCCACATTTTGAAAACGACCCGCCCTCAATCCATGAAGCTGTTGCAAATTTCGAAAGCGAATGTGCGCCGCGCTAAGGCGAGAGCCACATGTTGAAAAGGAACCGCCCTCAATCCGTGAATGTCTGGCAAAATTTGGCGACGAATGTGCGCTGCGCTGAGGCGAGAGCCACATTTTGAAAACGACCCGCCCTCAAACCCGTGAAGCTGTTGCAAATTTCGAAAGCGAATGTGCGCCGCGCTAAGGCGAGAGCCACATGTTGAAAAGGAACCGCCCTCAATCCGTGAATGTCTGGCAAAATTTGGCGACGAATGTGCGCTGCGCTGAGGCGAGAGCCACATTTTGAAAACGACCCGCCCTCAATCCATGAAGCTGTTGCAATTTCGAAAGCGAATGTGCGCCGCGCTAAGGCGAGAGCCACATGTTGAAAAGGAACCGCCCTCAATCCGTGAATGTCTGGCAAAATTTGGCGACGAATGTGCGCTGCGCTGAGGCGAGAGCCACATTTTGAAACGACCCGCCCTCAATCCATGAAGCTGTTGCAAATTTCGCGTGCGCCGCGCTAAGGCGAGAGCCACATGTTGAAAAGGAACCGCCCTCAATCCGTGAATGTCTGGCAAATTTGGCGACGAATGTGCGCTGCGCTGAGGCGAGAGCCACATTTTGAAAACGACCCGCCCTCAATCCATGAAGCTGTTGCAAATTTCGAAAGCGAATGTGCGCCGCGCTAAGGCGAGAGCCACATGTTGAAAAGGAACCGCCCTCAATCCGTGAATGTCTGGCAAAATTTGGCGACGAATGTGCGCTGCGCTGAGGCGAGAGCCACATTTTGAAAACGACCCGCCCTCAACCCGTGAAGCTGTTGCAAATTTCGAAAGCGAATGTGCGCCGCGCTAAGGCGAGAGCCACATGTTGAAAAGGAACCGCCCTC